ATTGAATAGGGGGCTGGATGATGAAAAGCGCGAAAAACCTAAGAAGAGTGAACGAATAGTGTACGTGTTAAAGAATTATTGAGAAACTAAGTACGAAAAAGGATGGTCGAATCTTCAAGTGGAAAACTGAAATAAGTTACACAGGTACAAATTAAGAAAAAGAATATTAGTGCAGATAGGATAGTCCTACGTTGGAGACAATTGCTATAATTTGAATATTTTTCAAATAGGTCCTAGAGTGCTCTGGTAGTTGGTGTTGTACTATCTCAGTAAAAATGTTTTAGCATGATAAATTTTCACAAGAAGGAAAATAAAGACATTTTAACCTTGAATTCTATGATTATATGAGAAAAAGAACTGATATTTGTACCATCTCAAGATATTTGAGAAATTTCAGCCTATTACTTTTTTGCGCATGTATCAAAGTTATTACATTTGAGATAACATTTATTAGCTGATTATGACATCAATGAATTTTCACTTGTGTGATTTTGATCGATTCAGCTCGTCGATGAAATTTTGATCTTTGAAATATTAGTTAAACCTCTGTTTTCCTGATCATTTATACTAAATTTTGATGAGTCATTGTATTCTATAGAGTTTACTTTCTAGTGTAGTTTATATTTTGTAAAGAAACAATCCTTGTTTCATATGTATGAATAAATCAAATATAGAAAAAGATGACCAGAAAGGGAAAAGAGAAAAACAAATAGTTTACTCAGAAAAGAACACTAAACAAGTATTAGTATGTGATATAGGGGAAAAGAGTAATATCTTTCGTACTATAATAGTGAGAGTTGAATCGACTCGAATTCGAATTCATAATTCTAAAAATTAAGAGAATCGAATAGATTCAAATGAATAGAGATTCGATTATTCTTTTCGTTTACTGAATTACAAAATAATGCGAAAAATCAGAAGAGATTGAAGGATATTCAAGCAAAGATTAACAAGTGAGGAGGCATCCATGAAGAATGTTCGGTAAAAGCGGAAGAGAGGCTGGCAAAAACTTGACAAAAGTGGACAAGAAGGTGAGTCCGACAAAACAGCTTTCAAATTTGTATTTTATGTCTTTAAATTTTGGCTAAAAGTATCGCTTTTGTACGTACGAGGTATCGAAGCGCATCCCACAGATTTAATCTGAAACCTAAGAAGATGCTTACTACCATTGCTTACTGAACGCATATTGATTTTGGCTGTTTAAATTCCACCATTATGTGTTTTTGCTGCAAGAGTAAATATCTCGTCCATTACAATCAGTTTGATTTATTGAACATTATGAATTATGGACAGCTAGTGAATTTGTTGAAGAATGAAAACTCTCTGATGATCAGTGTCACAAAATGAAACGTTTTTCTTTATTTTTCGTCTTTATGTATTTGTCTACTATACAGAGTGATCCATAAATAACCCGGTGATAAGAAATTTAAATATCTCCGCCAGATGTCGATCGATCGAGCTGAAATTTTTATCAGTGATAGAGGCTTACTTAAAGTTTTTTTGGTAAGAGACATATAAAGAAATCAATGTTCTTATGTATTAAGATAACATCAATACGAATTTTCTACTTGTTACGAGTTCTATCAAATGTTATAAGATGACTTCTACGCATTTTCAAGACTTTTTTTTCAGATAAGTGGCATGAGAGAATCAAAAGAAAGTGTATTATATCAATCACAGTAAATACAAACTGAGATTATAGAACAAATTAATTCAAATGTTCGAATTGACGCCCATTAGCATCGATGCACTTTTGAAGCCTTTCTGGTACTGATTCACAAACTTTCTTGCACAGATCAGAATCTATTGTAGAAAAAGCTGAGATAATTGATTGTTTGAGACTGGATAAGGTACGATGCTTCTTTTGGTAAACAATATCTTTCAGATAACCCCGCAAAAAATAATCAGCAGGAGTAAGATCAGGCGAGCGAGCAGACCAATCAAGCGCACCACGATGACCAATCCACCTTGCTGGAAAATTTTGGTCTAACCAATCTCGAACATTGGATGCATAGTGTGCTGGCGCGCCATCGTGCATGAAAAAAAAAGATTCGCTATTTGGTAAATCACAAAAAAATGGATAGAAATAATCACTAAACATATCGATATAACTTTGGCTAGTCACCGTGCCATCAAAGAAATAAGGTCCGATTACACCTTGAGAGGATACACCAGCCCATACAGTAACACCTTCAGCTTGCATAGTTTGCTCCCATGTAAGATTTGGATTTTGTATTGCCCAATAGACAGAATTATGACGATTAATATGCCCATTGAGTTTGAATACTGCTTCATCTGACCAAATGATTTGATGAATAAGATCCGATCCGGTTTCGAGGAGCGATAAAAGCGTTTCACAATATTCAATTCGTCAGTCAAAATCATCTTCATTGAGTTCATGAATTAATCTGGGAATATATAGCTTAAAGCCCATAGACTTGTAAATACGTCGAACTGAAGATCTTGAAATACTTAAATCTGTACTCATTTGATGAATCGACGTTCGAGGTTCTTTTTGCAAAACCGACGGAACTTCGTCTTTTACACCTTGGTCAGTAACTGATACAGATCTACCAGGTGGACTAATATCGAGTACAGAACCAGTTTGTTCATATTTTTTCATCAATACTCTTATCGTATCACGATGTGGAGGATTGTTATTTATTTGCTTACACCATAATCTTTGAACATTTATTGGATATTCAAGACGATACATATGTTTGACAATCCATGTCTTCTCATTCACACTCAATTGACGTCGTGCCATGTGTTATTTTGAATCTGAAATTTATGAATATATAGACTTTCTTGACTAGAGAATGTTATTATTTGTGTGTAAGAAAGTATAAATAGATAGATAAAAGTTTATAAAAATGGTTAGAAATCATACTGTAGCATTTTATAGAGTCCGTAACAAGTAGAAAATTCGTATTGATGTTATCTTAATACATAAGAACATTGATTTCTTTATATGTCTCTTACCAAAAAAACTTTAAGTAAGCCTCTATCACTGATAAAAATTTCAGCTCGATCGATCGACATCTGGCGGAGATATTTAAATTTCTTATCGCCGGGTTATTTATGGACCACCCTGTGTAAAGAAAGTTTTTTCTGTGATTACTTATGATTTAACCCTTTGACGACTGACTTATTTTTAAGAACAAATACAGTCAAGACTTATTGCTAACATGGTGTACTTTGGAAATTATTGACAATTATAATTCTTGCACTTAGACTTGATTTAAAGATACAATGCTGTTTCTGGTAACATCTATTTCAGAAAAGAACAAATATTGAAAAGACCTGTTTAACTATATTTCAGCTTCGTCTTCTATTCCAATTTGGCAACCGTAAATTTACGGGCTTCATTACCAAAGGGTTAATAGTGATTTTAATCGAAATTTCTGATCAAAGAGTAAGACAAACAATTGGTAATGAAATTATGTCATTTCATTTTTTCCGCTTACTTTATACTACTTCCCTGAAAAGAAAAACTTTACCGAACTCCCAAGGGAGAAGGATTTGTCGAAACCAAATGGATAAAGGATCCACAATGGTCCATTTTTAGCCGACATTCTTTATGGATGTTTCCTAAGAACAAAAAGAAAAATAGAATAAAACTCCAATAAATATCTTAGAGTTCCATACTGACTGACAGGCCTCATTATCCTGCTTGGTGCACACTCTCTGAATAGTATTTCAGTTCGAAAAAGTGGAAGAAAAAAAGATCGAACTAGAGGGTATCGATGTGTAGTTGATACTAAGTAAATTTACGTACTAATATTACTTAAAACTGATCAATGACTGAAATAAGTTATACAACAGGAAACGAGATGGACTA